AATGGTGTGTGTGTTAGTGCAAAAGTAAGGTCAAAATGCACTTTTAGGCTTCCAAACACACCCTAAGGATGAGAGAGAGGGAGATATAGAGAGAGAGGATGATATATCAGATATATAGATATAGAAGCTCTGGTTTTTATGTTCAAAAAAACTCTAACCTCAACAATGGAAGAAGACAGGTGCTTAAATAGGCAAAGGGCAAGGTTCTAGGCTTCTCCAAGAAGCTATATGAAAGGGGCAAAGGGTGCAAAGGAGTCTTGGCTTCTTGGAGACTCGCTCGGTTTACCGAAAGGCGCAACATTTAACAAAATGCAAGCGTTGGAACATCGTAGAATCATTTTTCAAAAATATTTTAAAAGAGAGGGTTTTAAGGTCTAAAAACCATTCAAAATAGCTTTGGTCCAAAATGGGGTGTAAGGTTGGGATTTGACTCTCTCCTTGCCTGAGAAATCGAACCTTTGCCTTGCATATCTTTTACCACCAAGTAAACCATCAGTAGCGCCCAAGTCTTATGGGCGGTCAAAAATGGGGTGTCCATAGGGTTTCAGAAAGGTTGGAAGAAGCAGTAAGAATGGCAAAAACAAAAATATCACAAGCATCAGATTGGCCCATGTTACAATTGCGGTGAAAAAGGTCATATCAAAGCCACTTGTCCTCAGAAGAAGCTAGAAAAAGATCATAACCCCGTTGCCATGACAGTTTCTAAAGCAATGGCACTTGAACCTTCATCAAATTCATGGTGGATTGATTCTACTGCAACTAGGCATATCGTGCAAAACAAAGACCTGTTCATGGATTTTACTAAAAAGAAGATTGGTGAACACAGAATCTATATGGGCAACAACTCTTACAGTGATGTCGACAACTGTCAATTTTCAATCAATGGAATTTTCATTGTGCTTCATGATATCCTTTATGTACCCAGCATTCGCCGAAATTTAATTTCAGTTCCAGTGTTAACTCAAAAGGGTTTTGAGATTAATTTTAGGTTTAACACAGTGTTGATTAAGAAATGGAATGTATTAGTGAAAGGTATAAGAGTGAATGATATGTATTCTCTTCCTATTGATAAGAATAATGCATGTATTTTTGATTATTTTTCTGTTTCTACTAGTAATAGTTCTTATTTATGGCATCTTAGATTAGGCCACATTAGTAAAAATAAAATGTCTCGAATGTTTAAAAGTGGTCTATTGCCTGAAGTGTGTACCGATGATTTTAATATATGTGAACCTTGTATCAAAGGAAAAATGACTAGCAAACCATTTTTAAAACATTGGAAATCATTGGAATTACTTGAAATAATTCATTTGGACATTTATGGCCCTTTAAGAACTAAAACACATCAAGGCATGGAAAACTTTATTACTTTCACTGATGATTATTGAAGATATGGACATATCTACCTTCTTAAACACAAATCAGAGGCAATTGAGAAGTTTAAAGAATATAAATTAGAGATAGAAAAGCAACTTGGTCGGTCCATTAAAAACTTAAATAATGATAGAGGTGGCGAATATAAAGCTATGGATTCTTTCTGCAAGGACAATGGCATAAAACATTGTTTGCAATGCCATACACACCACAACAAAATGGGATTGTAGAAAGACGGAATCGTACTCTAATGGAAATGACAAGGTCTATGATGGCTCATGTTGATCTTTCTATTTATTTTTTGGGAGAAGCTTTGTCTACCACTGCGTACATATTAAATAGAGTCGAAACAAAAGCCAAACTTCTAACTCCTTACGAATGCTAGCTTGGTACTACACTTAATGTTCAAAATTTCAAAGTTTGGGGATGTAAGGCACATGTACTTTTTCCCAAATCTTTAAGGGATAAATTAGAAAGTAAAACTTAGGAATCCAAGTTCATTGGTTATGTTGAAAATGGGAGTGGTTATCGTTTTTACCATTTAGAACGTAGATTAGAAAGTAGAGATGTTATTTTTCTTGAATCCACTGATCTTGTTACTCCTATTGAACAAATATAATTGTTATCCGAAGTATCTCAGGATTCTTCTCTTCCTTCTTTGTCACACGATCCACAGATTCTCCCAGAACCATCTAATAGTTGGAGGAAATGAAAATTACATGACGTTGTTTTACCTGCTTCAAATCCTGAGATAAGTAGGAGTAAGAGAGCAAGACGTCCATCTATGTTTTTGAAAGATCATTATGTTTTTCAAGTTAAAGAACTTAATAACTTAGTAAATGATCTTACTAGTTATAATGAGGCAATGATTAACAGTGATGCTATACAATGGCTTGAGGCAATGAATGAAGAACTTGACTCAATTAAGAAAAATGATGTTTGGGACTTAACTGATCTCCCGAACAGAAGAAAAACCATTGGTTGCAAATGGGTTCTTAGAAAGAAATTCAAAGTACATGGAAGTTTGGAGAAATACAAGGCCAGGTTAGTAGCCAAGGGATTCACTCAACAACCTAGAATAGACTTCGTAGATACATATTCTCCTGTTGCAAAATTTGCCTCAACCTAATGGTTTCCAAATCCAAGGCAACGAGGATAAAGTCTACAAATTGAAAAAATCCTTGTATGGACTCAAACAACCTTCAAGACAATTGTACTTGAAATTCCACGAACCCATTTTAGAAATAGGCTATGTTATGAGTCCATTAGATCAGTGTGTTTATATCTAGAAAAATGATGACAAGTTAGCAATATATTCTTTATAAGTGGATGAGATATTGTTAGCTAGAAATTGTCCAGATATAATTATGAAAACCAAAATTTTCTTGGCATCTAGATTTGAAATGAAAGACATGGGTCTTGCAACCTATGTTCTAGGAATTAGAAATTCAAGAGATAGAAATTCAAAATTATTATATCTAGATCAAGAGAAATATCTAGACAAGGTACTCAAAAGATTTAATATGGATAACTGTAATTCTTTAAGCATACCTGTTTGCAAGGTACAAAATCTTAGTAAAAGTATGAGTCCTCAAAATAAATCTGGCATTGAGAAAACGAGAGATGTCCCATATGCACAGGCAGTCGGTAGCCTAATGTATGCTATGACAAGCACAAGACCTGACATCTGTCATGCAGTCAGATTGGTAAGTAGGTTTCAATCCAATCTAGGTAAAGAACATTGGCAAGCAGTCAAAAGAATATTTAGATATTTAAAAGGCACTAAAAATGTGAAATTATGTTTTGGTTTGTGTGATCTAGACATAAAAGGATACATTAAAGCGGATTTTGCAAGAGATGTAGATGATAGAAAATCTACTAGTGGTCATGTGTTCTTGTTTGGTGGAACAACAGTTTCTTGGTTAAGTAAGAAATAGAGTTGTGTTGCAAAGTACACTATGGAAGCTGAATACATAGATTGCAGCATAACCGTGAGTAATGCGGTCTAGATAAAACGATGTGTTGACAGTTTACAATTAGATATACCTGCTAGACCGGTCAATATATTTTGTGACAATCAGTCTCCTGTCTCATTAATAAAAAGTAGAGCGAATAGCTCTAAGGGAAAACATATTGTAACGCCCCGGTGTCCCACATCAGGAATGGAAAGGGAGTTCCTGGGCTATAAAAGTAAAAACCTGGACCCTTATATAGCATCGAGGCCTTTTCCCGGGTAGTGAGATCCCTATTAGAACTCCCCAGTTAAGCGTGCTTAAGCTGGAGTAGTTCTGGGATGGGTGACCCACTAGGAAGAAAAATCCATGTGGGCGTGGCCCAAAGCGGACAATATCGATGACATGTGAAGGGTTGGGGTGTTACAAATGGTATCAGAGCCGACTCTCCAGAGTACCGAGTGTGGGCCCCTAGCGTCTCTCGGTGCATGTGGGTGGGCTCGCGAGCTGGCAGGCTACTGCACGGGGACGTGATGACTTATGGGGGGTGGATTGTAAGGCCTAGGTATCACACATCGGGAATAGAGGGGGAGTTCTTGGGCTATAAAAGTAAAAACCTGGACCCTTATATAACATCGAGGCCTTTTCCCAGGTGGTGAAATCCCTATTAGAACTCCCCAGTTAAGCATGCTTAAGCTGGTGTAATTCTAGGATGGGTGACCCATTGAGAAGAACAAATCCGTGTGGGCGTGGCCCAAAGCGGACAATATCGATGACATGTGAAGGGTTGCGGCGTTACAAATGGTATTAGAGCCGACTCTCCGGAGTACCGAGTGTGGGCCCCTGGCGTCTCTTAGCGCATGTGGACAAGCTTGCGAGCTGGCAGGCTACTGCACGGGGACGTACAGCCTTATGGGGGTGGATTGTAAGGCCCCGGCGTCCCATATTAGGAATGGAAAGGGAGTTCCTAGGCTATAAAAGTAAAAATCTAGACCCTTATATAGCATCGAGGCCTTTTCCCGGGTGGTGAGATCTCTATTAGAACTCCCCAGTTAAGTGTGCTTAAGCTGGAGTAGTTCTGGGATGGGTGACCCACTGGGAAGAACAAATCCGTGCGGGCGTGGCCCAAAGCAGACAATATCGATGACCCGTGAAAATGCAATTGTTCAATTGTTCAAATTGGTTTCGTTCAATCTACTTGTGGGTTTCTAAAGAAAATAAAAATATCATGGGGAAATTGCAATTCCGTGAAAACAATTCAAAATAATTGCATCTTTATGAAAATGCAAATGGATCTGTTTCCGTGTCGCGTAAAACATACCTATCACTTGCATCCATTTGCTCGCAACTATTTTGATTTATTTTCACCTTTTTGCAATTCCACCAAATATCATTTAAATGGGAAATTGAGTAACAAGTGGCAAATCAGTAAAAACTTTGCGATTAGTTGCACAAGACACAATTCTCATTTTCACACCTAATTTGTAATTAAATTTTCCATTTCCATTTACGTGATATTCCAAAAATAGAAAATTTTAAATAAAGGCAAAAAAAACACATAAATTTTTGGTATGCTTAAATTGTCATCAAGACTAATAACAATTTAATTTTAACGCTTTAAACAACTATATATGTGTGTGTGTGTGTGTGTTAATGCGGTCAAAATACTCTCAATTAGATCAAATCTACCAAATGAATAATAAAAAATCATCAGGAAACAACAAAATCCATGTGTCTCATTAGCACTGATGTGAAAAGTAAAACATGAAATGAAAAGTAACAACTTAAATAGAACCCTAAAGAAGGACACAAATGGCAGTGAGAAAAACCACCAACATCTGTAGAGAGACGATTACTTAGATCTCTACCTCATCTTTCTATGCTTCATCTTTAATCTCCTCATGCGCTTCTTCTTCCACTGTAAAAGACATACAAAGAAAATATGTAATTAGAACAAGCAAATAGATTCTAAAAGATTAGAGTGAAAGGGACGAAGAGATCTCACTTTAGCTCTCATCGCTACAGTTTACCTTTCTGAAACCCTAGAAAGATCAGATATGAAGGGAAACGATAAACCCTAGGTTTTGTATTATGTATTTATACTGAGCCCGAGTGGAGTCCAAGACGGTTCGGCCTTCATCCATCGAGGTTGGTTTCACAATGCCCGTTTTGTAAAAGTTAATACTATAGATTTTTTTTATTCAATCGTGTTCAATCCAATTTACGTATAATTTAATTAATTTCTTATCTGGTCTGATCAAAAGCAAGCTATTCATTTCGAAATTAAAATATTTACGAAAAATTACTTTATAGGAAGTACGCAGACCAATCACTCGGTACAATCTTTAAGGTTAAAGTTAATATAAAAGTTGATTTTAACTATTCAAAAAATGGATATTTACACATAAATTTTAATTTAAAACAAATTATACTAGCAGTCTCTATAGTTTGGGATTCATGTCATTTTAGTCTCTAGTCTTCAATTATGACACATTTGATCCTGAATTTTGAATCGTATTCCAAATAAGAACAATTAACGATACTATTTGCTTAATTTCAAAGACAAAGTCGTCGATTTGATATAATATAAACTAATTTCACAAAAATAAATGTCAAAAATTTTTTTTAAACTTTTAAAAATTATTTCTACCCACCAAAGATAATTATATAATGTAACGCCCTCAAAATAATACATAAATAAATCATGCGCAAGGTCCATAGTCAATAAAATAAACCTTTCATTTACATTCATCAAAGTGTTTCTTACAAAAGATGTTACATGTTGACAACAAAAGTAAATGTCCTACGGGCTTACAACTTTCCAAGTCAACACTTGGTTTCAACAAAAAAGGGTCAGAAGCCCCTTACAATTTAAAGCCCTTGGCTTGGAAATAAAAACATATATCATAAAATCAAAATAACCAAAACGGAGACTTCAGCCCCACAACCTCCCAAGCTAAATCCTTGGAGGCGGCATATCACCTACACCTGAAAATGATGTCCCATATAAGGTGAACCAAAGCCCAATAGAGATATGCTATACATAATATGAGAATTAACTAAAACGTTAGCATTCGATAAATGATTAACAATTCCAAACCATCTCATATTCTTTCTATAATCAATTAACATAGATTTCCATATACCCGTTCACATCCTTTTATTACTCAGGTCAATTCATTGACACAATTCTATATTAATCAACCACTCAAAATGAGACTACAACTCATATATCAACACTTCAATAGCATATATCAATCATCACTTCCATAATCCTGCCATTTTACGGAACTACATCCGAGGGAACCGGCACCCATAAATAAATAAAGTTTCGGGACTTTCACCCAGGACACTCTGGCTAACTTAGTTATCAATGGAGTCCATCCCCTATCTCCTCCCACACAATGGAGTACATCCCCTATCTCTTCCCACACAATACAAGTATACAATGTATTTAACAAGTTGTCATATACAATGAGCCAACAATTCACATATTCAATGTGTTAATTCCACAGTCACCTTCAATGAAATAATTCGATTAATTAGTTTCAATTTTCCCTAATCAACATGCAGTGTCTACAACAGTCAAGACTATCCTCCACTGATAGCCCAAGCAGTTATTTCTAAACATATAATAAAATTTATCAAACAGATAAATTATCAATATTTTCATGGGTGAGTGATTAATCAATCCAACTACACCATTCAATTCATATTCTCCCCAATTTCAAAATTTTCCACTCAATTTCATATTTCGAAAATTCCCAAATTTATTATACAAGTTAATTATTTAATCCAATTAGGGTATTCTCTCCCAAAATTCACAACATTGACCTAAAGGTCCAACCCTCACCATTTCGACAATTATACATCACTAACTCCATTTTCAAGATTCACACACACACATATGGAGTTTAGAATTTACAGTCCCTCTTTTGACCATTTCAACCTGAAACTTCCCAAAATTTTAATATTTCACCATTTATTCAAAATGACAAACATTTATGTTAAAACTTATAGAAGTGAATAGATTATCCCTACCTCAAATTTAGGAACTCAAAGGAGATGAAGATGAAAACCCGAGATGCTCTAAACCCACAATTTCACGGATCAAAACGTAGCCCACGCAAAGCTCAAGCTTTCTTACAAAGAGACTAGGGTAGAAGACCACTAGAACAAGATGTATTTGTAGAGAGAAGGAGTATGTAGCGAGGGAGAGAGTCGGATCTAGGGTTTGAGATGAAAAGGAGATGAAAAAGTGATGTATAAACCAGCTGCTGTGAACTGATATATTTGAGGCTCGCTCGAGCGAAAGAGTGGTCGCTCGAGCGACCAGACACGAAAGAACCTCGCTCGAGTGCAAGAAGCGTCGCTCAAGCGAACAATGCCAAGCTTCAAGTCTGCAACCCAAAAGCATGCTCGAGCGCAAGAGTGCTCACTCAAGCGAAAGAACTCAAAACATAGGCCTTGCCCACTCGAGAGAAAGAAAGCTCGCTCGAGCGAAGAAACACAACCTTCAGGTCCAAAATAAACGCAAACACACGCTCGAGCACAAGACCGCTCACTCGAGCGAAGAGACACAATACGCATGGCTCGTTTGAGCGAAAGAAAGCTCGCTTGAGCCAAAGCTATGCCTGAAAAAGAAACCTGAAGACCCTCCATCCTCTCTCGAGCGCAAGAACCTTTGCTCGAGCATAAAAAGCCTCGCTCGAGCGAAGGAACCAAAACCTAGGCAGCAAGCATTGGTTTAAACTCACAACCAGCCTGTAATAAACCTGCCCAACACATCCCAAAACTCAAATACAAGGAATTTAAGGACGGAAACAAGATATAAACGACAACAACCAATCACGAAACCCAAGTTCGGAAAGCAATACTTGAAGGGAAAAACCGGGATCGCTATATATAAAATTGATAAATATTTTACACATTTATTTACTTATTTATTTTTACCAAATTAATTTTTATTATGTGTTTGAATAATGATCATGTAATGGTTGGATTTTTTTTTTTTTTGATGCTTTTCGATGGTTATCATGTAATAGATGGTTGTATTTATTGTTAACATATATTTTTGGATGATTATCATGTGATGGACGGTTATTAGGCTTATTTACGTGTATGTGTGTGTGCAAGTTAAATGTGTGTGTGTTTTGCTTCATCTAATCTATTGTTCTAATTGAATTGACGAATGATTTTGTGAAGTAAAAAATTGTTGTGACTGGTCTAGCGATATATGACAATTGTTTTATAATTCAGTATTTTGTTTCACAAGAATGGTTTAATTTTATTTTTTATTTTTTTTGGTGTTGGATGATAAGCTTTTTGTAGAATTGATCGAGAAAGTTGTTCATAATTCCCGAATTCTGGCTAGTTCTTGTGAAGCAAAAAGATTGTAGTGAAGACAATTTGAAATGGATATCAATTAATGGGGAAAGAATTATCAGATTGTTTACATGTAGTGGGAAAATAGACAAATAGAAGGATGACTTTGAACCCCAGGGAATTAGCCAATTGGCAAATTGAGCAAAACAAAAGTCACAATGATTTTGAATCCTATGAACCTGTTTGGCCCACTCCAGCATCTGTTTCCAGTAATTATTATGTATGTGTGGGATGGGAACTGCATGTACCCAGAGATTGGTTGGGTAAAAACCCTAGATACCCCTATTACCAAAAAAAAAGAAAATGACTTTTAGCTTGACGTGATGTCATTATCTTGAGATTTTCAGATAGCCTAAAATGTAAAAGCCTGAAGTAAACCTTTGGATTGTATTCAGCCAAGTTGTCCCAGAATGGGTATCTTAGATTTTGTCAAGTAATCTTTACTGTGGTGCTGTGAATGTCAGCGTGGTTGATGAAATCATCTCTATCTCATACTTGAATTGATTGCTCAAAAGTTGAAGTGAAATCTTTGTTTTACAATGAATAATCTACATTGTCTTAAGTAGGGATTTAATATTGTGTATTTCATTAACATGGTTGATAAATGGAGGTTCTTTCCCTTAGTGTTTTTTTTGGGGGGCCAATTTTGTTGGCTTCTTTGTTAATTTCTTGTGACTATGTTGTTTCAGGTTCTTGGGGTTGAACAGAATGCAAGTCAACGTGAAATTCAAAAAGCTTTTCACAAGTATGTTTTCTCTATAAGATTATTCCTGTTATCCTATAATACTCAGCCTTTAATCATATTATGGTTTTGTAACATTGTTTCTCATTTTCTTCTTCACATTGATTGACATTCTTTTTAAGCAAAATCATCAATTTATTGTCTTATGTTTTGGAACTGATTTTTTTAAAACAAATAAGTGAAAATGTTGGCTTGGATGGCTGTGCTGTGGTCAACTTGACATTTTATTGTTCAACCTCATGCTGGTCTATCCTTAGTCTTAATCTCGAAGAAGGCGTAGCTTTGAGCACAATGGTCAGTGTGATGGTTGGGTTCAGCTTTGAAAATATGCTCTACGCAAGTTGAAACATACTCGACACTAGTGAAATAGATCATATTTAAACCCAGAAATGTATGTTACTATATGGACATTTATTGTAAATGGATAAATGATTTAGAATTGATTTTACACTAATAGTAGGAAGCATTGTGAGGAAGTATTTTAATTTTTAGTATTAGCATTGGTTTGAAATTAGATAAGAAAAAAGTTCAAGCCCAATCCTATTATCAGCCAGCAAGATTGCCCAATCCTATCATTTTAATCCTATTTCTGATGTGAGATGATATGTTTGCCCTTCTTTTTTTTTCTTTTTTTCTCTTTCTTTCTTTTTCCACTTTTTAATACTGGGAACTTTGCTCCCCAGATGCTGTTTGAATTGCTCTCGATTTCTTTGCATTGATAATATCACATAAATTCAAGCTTTGTGCCATTTTCTTTTGTAGGCTCTCTCTCCAATATCATCACCGACAAGAACAAAAATGAAGGTGAGATTAATAATGGTATGGTGCATTATTTTTATTTTCTTGAACGCTATGTATATTAATACTATCATGGCTGCATTTGAAATTGTTTGATGTGGAAAAGACTTTTGGTTTTATATTGTCACCTTTCTCCCTTAGGTTTTGTTTTAAGAATAGTTAAAATGTTTAATTGACTTGATTTTTGAAAATTTGAGAATAGGTGATTAGGACCTCAGTGCATACTTCTTTTCCTGAGGATATTTTTTGTTTGCTCTTTTATTTCTT